TGGTGACAATATATGAAAATTTGAGGAGTTTCGGGAAATTGTCATTGGCTCTGGTACAGGAAGACTCTCATGTGATGATGTACGGGAGGTCCATTCCTACATAATTCTCCATTGTTCCTATAGTTAGGAAACTCCCAAGCTCGGCTGATGAAAGCGAACATACATCCAAACGCTGGTCGCAGGTTTTGCATTATATGCGAGATTCTCGCGGGCAACCTGTTCGCGTTGTTTTCTGGTTTACTATGCTCGTTGATTTTGACCTACGATGAAGTTGGTGCCGACTTCAGGGCGAGGCTGAAGACCGTGATGAGGTGATTCCCTGCATTAACCAGACACCTGTGAATTCACTGGTTCGATAGATACATGCATAGCAACAACGTTGATCGCGGAGTTCAAATGAAAGTGCGACGCTTTCTTGAAAGGCTATTTCAGAATCAGGCTAATGAGCAAGCGAAAACTGCACTGCTCACGTGAGTGATAAAGGGCACGTTTGTGAGGGACTTTGTGGATTTTGGGATTTGTTGAACTTACGTTGTGCGACGCGGATATGCACAGCTTAATTGTGTCGTGCGAAATATAAATAATTATTGAGAATATGAAAAATTTCAATTTTTTTTATGTTTTTTTCCATGTTTGCTTTCAGGATGCTCCGAACGTCGGATGGCCTTCGTCATCAAGTATTGGTTGGTGTTATGGGGAAGATGCTGAGACACTATAAGTGGTTCGATATGAAGATCACTGATGCTCAGCTCGGCCGGGTTGCCTCCGTTGTGATCACCAAGTGGGAGTCTTGATTTAGTGACAGCGTCTGGGTGGACGTAATTGCTTACGTTTAACTTGTTTTATCCGGTTCGCTTCGTGATACATATTTTTGTATTATTATGACTACATTTTGGGTATGATGTTGTTCGTATAGTAGCTAAGCGATAAAATCCTGTGAATGCTACAGTCGAATTCATTGAGTGTGGGAGGGTTCATATTGTTATTATGAAGCATGATGAAGCTCAGTATTGGAGTTGGAGTAGGAATATATGTTTGTTTTCCTCACCTGAGCTCAGGAGTTTTCTCACTGATTATAGAAGTTGACATATGAAATTCGGGTAGAAGTGTGTAGAAAGCATTGAGAAATTTGCGAAATTTCATATCATCATCAACACATGTAGTTAACCATGTGAATATTCCCCTACTGAAGGTACTTCGCACCGGGGGATTTGGTATTCTATGCTGGCGACAAGGCTGAGTGCATGCTCTTCGTGGTGAGGGGGCTTATCAAGTGCAAGAGAGATAGAACACGTAAGGTGTCGCCACACCTTATGAATGTTATCTTCCGACGATAATGGGAATCGATCTGAAACTAAAATAGCGACAAGTTGTTCGCACATTTTTTTATATTCGCATACCAAGTTGGTACGCATTATA